GTTACAGTTGACATACAATATCATATTAGTTTCAGGTATACAACAAAGTGACAAGACATTTATTAAAAAATATATTTTATTTATTTATTTTAGAGGAAGAAAGGAGTGAGAAATAGAGGGAGAGAAGCATTGATGTTAGGAGAAACATTGATCAGTTGCCTCTGGTACACACCACAAACAGGGATTGAACCTGCAACCCAGGCATATGTCCTGACCAGGAATTGATCTAGCAACCTTTTGCATTGTGGGATGATGCCCAACCAACTGAGTCACACTAGTCAGGGCTGACATTTATGTATTTTGTAAAGTTATCATCCTGGTAAATCTAGCATCCACTTGACACCTACTTAGTTATTACAATATTATTGAGTATATTCCCTATGTTGTACTTTACCATAGCTTGGAATGGAATTGCTAGGTCACTGGATATGCATATGATATTTTTTATTAGATAATGCCAGTTTTCCCCCAAGTTTATTAAAACAATTTACACTCCCTCATCTTGCCAGTTCTTGATATTGTCAGACCTTCCATTGGTGGTTTGTAGATGTGGTATATTATAGTGACTATATTTATTTATCTATTTTAACACTGTTTTTTACTGTATTTCTTCCATTACCATTTATCCCTCCTGTATCCTCTTCCATCTCCACAATCCTCCCCAGCCCTGCAATCATGACACTGTTGTCCATGAGTTTTTTCACTTTTTTTCCCTTTTTTACTCAACTTTATTTTTTATTTTCCTTATTTGTAATAAGGTTGAGCTCCTTTTCTTATATTTATTGGTCACTTGGACTCCTCCTTTTTTTTGATGTACCTGTTTTACACTTTTACCCAGTTTTCTATCAAGTTATGTGTTTTCCTTATTGATTTGTAGTCATTCCCTATGTATTGTAGATATAAGCTATTAGTTATGTGTATTGCCAATATCTTCTCTTGTGCTCTCATTCTGCCTTTTTATCCTTTAACAGAGCCTTTTGAATGACAAAAAAAATCCTTAATTTTAATAAAATAAAATTTAACACTTTTTTCTTTAAGTTTCTTTTTTGTCATGACATTAAAAACATGTTTTTCATGTGCCTTAAGCTATCAAGATATTTCTTGGGGTCATCACAATATTTCCTTATATTACTTTCTAAAAGCTACATTTCCCACTTTTCTCTTCTAATGATACAATATGACTTCTGTCCACTACTTCTTTGAAAATGTAAATGCCTTCGAAGTTAATATTTCCCACTTCAATCCTTTCCCTAAGATCTGTATTTATCATTATTTGTCTGACCTGCTGGCTTGTACATTTCAAATGTAACAGATTCAGAAAGAAACTCGATTCCCCATTCCTAAACCCCAACCTCTTCCAAAATTTTCCTCTCAGTTGTTCAGGCTCAAAGTTTGAGTCAACTTTGGTTTCTTCCTTTTAGGGACTTCCTTAGGAGTCCCTATATCTAGTCTATCAGAAATTTGCACTGTGTCTTCCTACAGGTATTTCCTGAATTCAACTCATTCTCACTATCTCTTCTGCTCACACCTCAATCTGTCAGTCCCATTATCTTCCTGGATTACTGTGTCTCCTGACTCATCTCCCTTCTGCATTTGTCTTCTTATAGTTCTTTCTCTTTAGAGTAGTCAGATAAATCTTTAGAAAATGGAAAACTGATCACAAAATCTTGTCCTTAAATTTAGAATAAAATCAAAGCTTCTTCACATGGCCCACATGCCTGTTTCTTCAACCTCATCTAACCTGTCTCTCTTTCATTAGTTTTGCTCCAGCCACATTGACTTCTTAACTGTCCTTCAAACCAACAGACATGTCACCTCAGGACTTTTAACCTTGCTCCTTCCTCTGTCTGGCTTCTTCTTTCCTAGAACTTGCTTTGACTAGTCCAGAATACTGCCTGGTACATTATAAATGCTCAAAACTATTGATAAACAAATGGATGGATGGAAAAAATAAATGATTAGATGGATGAACTTTTTAAGGGAAAAATATTTATTAATATATTAAATTTTTTTTATTGCATTAGTAATTTCAGTCTAATTTGTATGTTTGGAGGAAGGTTAAATGTAGGGATAGCCCTGGAAAATGCCCTGTGACCTCTGTTTCCTTTGGAATCAATTCTTCAGTTTCATGCAGTTGCCTTTTTCTCCAAAATAAAATTTCTACTTAACTTGGATTTGGTTTGATTTCTTTACTCTAGATGATTTATTTTATGGTTGTGCACCAGATGAAACAAGCAAACAAGTGTTTCAACTCTCTGAAATTACTTTCTCACAGAGTTCTTATGCTTCTCAGAACCATTTGTGTGTCAGAGGGAGAAAAGGGACATAGAACTCATCTCTTTTAGGCCTGATCCATTCTGGAAATCTCCCAGAACATTTCTGGAGGACATCACCCAGCTTCTGATTATATATCTCCCATGATAAATCACCTGTTTCCTTAAAGGACAACTGTTCTTCATATAAATAAGTCACTAGAAATATGTGGGAGGAATGACCTGTTTTCTCCATTGGCGACTAAACAAGCTGACTCATTAGAAATGGAAAAGACTGGGTTTTGAGATTTAGATTGTGTAGCCATGGAAAGCATAAAGAGAAAATCTGTTATGGATCTGTTGAGAGCACTTATTGTTTAGCAAATTGAAAAATGGGAATTGAATTGTGTAAATTAGAGCCCATGAAAAATTTAAATGAATAATCTGAGAAGTTTGTAGCTCCTTTGTCTCTAACCACAGAGTAATTAGCATGGTTCATGGCAAGCTGATGCTCAGGAAGACTCACTTTTTATATTATTATAAAATATTTTCCCTGAGTCTTCTAGGACCTCCCCCTTCTTTTGTTATCCTGTAATAAATATCCTACTCTTTATTGTTCCATCCGTTATGTCATGTACTTGTCAACATCAATATTCTCTTGAGTGTCTTAATGGCAGGGGCTATGTCTTGTTTGTCTTTGTTTCATCATTATGTAGAAGAAAGCTGGAAAAAGTAGGGCTTAATAAATTTTTTAAACTATTGATCTACACTCTGTAATCAAGACCTCTGAGTGCAAGGAAAGGTCAATTGTTTTGCTCTAAACTTTCTAGGATAATTCTCACTGTTTTGTTAGTTTTGTTCACTATTTGAAACTCAGAAGGATTCAGTTTGTTGCCATGTTTTACATCGGTTAGTCCGTTTGTTTTCTATATGCTGAACTATATGTTTCTATATGTTTGTTTTCTTTGATATTTCTAACTCTGGCACTGAGTTAGGGTGCTAGAAAGTTTTTTTGCTAGAGTTTCAGTAAATAATTGAATTTGCTCTACGTTCTTCTAAATAAGTACTTTCCTTTATACAGTTTTCAATATATAGAAATAAACAAAAACAAATGTATGATTGCATGACAGCATGTACACACACACACACCCCTCTCTCAAACACACCAACATAGGCACAAAAACCCAGTCCCCTCGGGGCATACTCTAAATTACCAGTTTAATGCTGTCCTCACAGGGTGCAGCAAGGGAGTGTCAGCTGGACGCTTGCTTCAGTTATAGAGCTTGATTATAAGGCGGCAGAAAGTGCCAAGCCTTTAGAGTCTAGCTGGCAGTTCTGTTATTGGACAACCAATTAAATAAATTGTTTAGGATTGTCCTTCATAAACCATAACTTCCATAAATACTTAGGCAGAGAAGTAATTTTTAAGAGTTTATTTGAAAGAAGGAAAACCAACAATTTCTTTATACATTTCACCAAGAGTTGGTTAAATGTTCAGTATTCTTCTTTAAAAGTAAATTACTTTGGTGTAAGTCTCACAGTTTTACATGAGGAAATACACAAAGTTTTCATTGCAATGCATGTAGTTGCTCGATACCGAGGTATTATAAGTCAGCTTTTAGAAGGAGGCAGCCTTGACATATAGATGACCATGCATAACCACGCTTTAACTATGCTAGGATCCCATAAAAATTCAGTAACATTCATGATTCAAACTATATAAATTGCTGTATCATTAAATTTTAATGTATTTTATTTAATTTGTGTGTGTGTGTATGTGTAAGAGGGAAAGAGAGAAAGAAGGAGAGAGGGAGAGAGAAAATTTCCTTTTATCGAAGATAATTTTGTTGAAATTAAGCTATTTAACCTTTCTGTTTGCAAACCAACCCTTGACATTTTTCCCTCTTGACTTTCTATTCATTATTTGGGTTTAGATATTGAGGAGTCTTAAACTCTCAAAAATAACTGCCATCAGTGTTCTTAAGTTTTTAAAATTACTGTTATTTAGTTGTAAAAAAGCACTGTATAACAGTTGTAAGTAACCCCAGAAGGTTATGTAGGTGTATTACATAAACTTCTTGATGGAGGAAATAAATTCTCTCCTTCACGTAGATGAAGAATATTTTTGATAAAAGTCACCCTGAAAATTATTCATAATTTTGGGTGTCTTAGCTGAGTAGTGAATACTTTAGCTTCTGTTTTAAATGACTGAAATTCATCAGTTCCTATGGGAGTGTTTAGAGGATAATTAAGGTTGCTGTAGGACTGTAATATGACTTCATATATTTAATTTTAGTACTTAATATCACCTATAAAGTATTGAATAAGCAGAAAGTTCAAATAAATGGTATTTCTTCATGCCTAGTGTTGCTCTTTCTGCCTTGAATGTTATTCCACCATTTTTTTTTTTTTTGCATGTTTTGACACTTTGCCTACTTCTTAGCTTCAATGAGACTTCCTCAGAAAAAAGGCCTCTGACTGTGTAGATGTATCCTGCTTGGGTACTTGTTTTCCTCACTACTAGCACTTATCACAACTATAATAAATTCTTTGTAATTCATTTTCTATTTTTCCCCTGGCATACAGCCATACTTCCATGCAATGTTCATATGATTTTCTTGAGAAACTATAAAATCCATAGTAATAAAGAAAGATGAAACTGTATTTGTGAAACTGCAAAGTAAAGTTTTGGAGTTTTGGATGGGCACACCTACATACAGACTTTGCAACAGAAAGGAATTTATTGCACTAGACCCCAGTTTGTTGGGTTATCCAGTGGCGGTAGGCTGTCACTCGAGTGTACACTCCTGGTTTATCTGCCAGACCACATTGATCCCCCCAGCTCACTATCCCCACGAGGAACCAGAGCCGCCGTGAGTCCTCTTGTACTAGCGGGCCACCAGAGTCACCCTGAAGGAAACAGAATGATTGATTATTTCAGTGTGAAGACAACCTCAAAGTATTAAGGAGTTTATTTCTATGGCAGTAGAAGTCATATCCATTATGAAAATAAAGTTAGTCTGACATTTCCTGTTAAGCTATTGTATCAAGTCAAATGAAAGTTACCAAAATCTTCCAAGGACACACATTATTCCGTCAGCAAGCGTGAGAAGATGAAGAGTACATTTCCCAGGCCCCCTCAGTTGTCTGGCTGACTTCCAGTCCTCACTAACCTGTCCTCCTTCAGGGAGCCTTCCCTGACTACGTGTACCTTCCACCCCGCCCCCACTGTCACCCCTCTGTCTTTGGACTGGATGAGTTTGTCATTGCCTGTGTTCTCATATCTTGTGTGCACCTTTTTCACTGCTTCTTTATTATTTTGCACAAGCACATTTGTGTGCCTGTTTGAACTTACTCCAGCTGGGTCAGTTCCCCTCACTGTAGCAGCTGCACATCTCTGCAACCCTCTTTGCCTTCATAATACTTGTTCATTGCCTGTTTTTCTGGCTATTCTATGAAGTCCATCAGGGAAGGTGTGTACCTATACCAGACATTGCTGTATCCCAAGCTTCTAGTCCATAGGAGATACTAAGAAAATATTCGTTGAATCAATGACTTTTTAGAAGTCTCACTTATCCTCCTACTTATAGTACTCTCCCTGCATGGCACCATTAAAAAATAATTTTTGGTGAATGAGCAGAAATATGTTTATATGGCAATGAGTAAAAACTCCTCATGAAATATTTACCAGCCAATTATAATAAACCAACCAACCAATATCTGCATACGATCTCTAGTTGGGGGGACAAATTTAGTAGGTCTTACATGCTGCACGATGAGGTAAGTCTATGAGTTCTGGAATTAGAAGGCCAGGGTTTGAATCCTCCACCTACCAGCTATATGGCCTTCAGTAAGCTATTTAATAGCTCCCTGTGCCTCAGTTTCCTTATCTATAAATGATGTTTTTTTATGTGTTTAAATGAGTTTAACACACATACTACCTGGCATATAGTCAGTACTAATAAAAGTCAGCTATTATTACCAAGTTTGCTTCTAGAATAATTTCCTATTCATTTGATTGCTTTCAGTAGCTAGTTTTTCCATACCTACTTAATTACTGGTCTAGATGGGAGGGAATGTCAGTGCGTGAATCACCAGCTTGCATGGCAAGTACTGCATTGAAATGATTGGCACCTGCCTCCTTCAGATTATGCATCCATGCGTCAGTTAGCCAGTTTTCAGCACGTTTTTAATCATTGTTTTTGCTGCTATTCCCTCTACAGGAAGTTTCTTCTGTGTAATATCTTAACAAGAGTAGTCAAGACATGCTAAACTAAGAGATATGTCATTTTTCCTTTCTCTCTGGCCAGCTTCACTGCCTGATTATGTAGACATTTGAGCTGTGTTCTCTCTTCCAGACCATAGTTTTGCTGAGTGCAGGGAACACAGTTTTGTGTTGGTGCATGGTCTGATGCATAGAAACTAGTTCATCTGTTTTCTTTAAGTGAACAGAAATGAATAGGACATCATAAGCTCTTAAGCAAAGTGCTATTCTTGAGGCATAAACTGAATGCATTATATTATTTTGGCTGAAAATCAGTGAAGCTGGGAGTAGGACACACAGGGAGGTTTTGTGATGAATTATGGCTTCAGCTAGGCTTGGGGGAAGAGCCAATTTGCATACACAGAAGGTAAAAGGCATCATTAGTAAAGCATGAATAACACACTTTTATATTCATGTGTATCCCTAAGTCCTAATTAATGCTCTTCATAGATCTGGAATAGTCAGTGTATAAGTGTGTTGCTTATCTGGAAACTACTATGAATGTTGAGGATTTGTTGTTACAGGGCTAGCAATAAAAAAGGAACAGGTAGGGGAGCAAGAAGCGTTCCCCAGCACAAGGTCATCTCCACTTAAAGGGAGTGAAGGGCCATGAGTAATTAACAGTATCTTGAAAATTGAAAAACAGTTCCCCTGATCTATACATAACTTGCAGTCAATAAAATGCTTCATTTTGGGGAAAGTATGCATGGACTAGGGTCTTCACAAAAGTTATGTAAGAACTACTTTCTTACCTACTTTTTAAAAATGTGAACAGAAAATATAAAAGTCAGTAATGGTTGAGGAAAAAATAAACCTGGTTTTTCTGCATATGATTCCCAGGAAAACAGTATCAGATTCCTCAAGAAAACAGATCGATTTTTCTTAATTCCAGAAATGCCATTTCTGATACTAAGTAGTTATTGCTATTAGTATATGGGGTTGGGTTTTAGACATAGGAATAAAAATCTATTAAAAGATGTAACCACATCAATTGTTTAGATAAATTTTTTAATACTATAATCTTATTTTAATGATTTTAAAGGAAGAATTTCATATTTATTGTTTGCATTTTATATTTGGTTGAAAATTATAGGCTATATCTAAATAGTTTTTTTTCTCATTTGTGCTGTTTTACAATGATGAGAGGTGTACTAACTCAAGCTTTTTGTGTAAATTTTCTTCATCAAGATGCTAATATTTGGGTGTTATTTATATCTTAAAATCAACTATTGTTTGTGACTTTTAGATGCGTAATTTACTTAAACCTCATAGTAGTTAAAAGTTGAAGTTAAAGTTATTAATGTCAGTGATCATGATCCAGCTTAATAAGAACAGTAAAAATCGCTGAGATAGCAGACATTTCTTTGTTGCTTAGTATGTGCCTGACAAATTTAATCTCCATTAACTCTTTAGTAGTACATAAAAAAGGTACATACTATTATAATCATTTCCCTCATTTCATTGATAAAAATGGTTATAGAGGTTAAGAAATTCAAAGTCAGTTCTGTCTGGTTCTTGAACTTCAATGACTAACCATTCTGCAATTTGGCTTCTCAGAATTAGTATTTTATGACAAAACAACTTCATAAAATAAATTTTATTTCTGAAACCTAAATCATAGATTTTTAGAGGATCAGGACTGTGTATTATAATTTACCTCTATGCCCATCATAACATCACATGCTAGTAATAACTTATAACCTGAATGAAGCCATTGATAACATTATCTTTTGAACTTACCCGGCATGCATCCACTCCACCTTGAGGTAATCCAGCACAGAGCATTCCAGGAAACACTGCTCCATCATAACTGATTGGTGCATTACATACATCATTACTTATTATGTAGACCCGTCCTTGCTCTAGGTCACTAACTGTGTTGCCTGTTAATTATAAAGCAGAAAGAAAATGGAATTCAGAATAAATAAATTAATGACTCTATGGTGAACATGGGAAGGGATAAATATACTCCAAACATTATTTCTTATTTAAAAAAGAAAGATATTAAAGATGTACTTTGGAGTCTCTGCTCAGCAAAGATATCCGTAAGTGGAGAAAGATAACCTTTTCAAACAGATCAGTTTCTTTCTCTCTCCCCTATTTTTTGTTTTAGCTTTGTGATGCCCCTTAGACCTTAAAAGAACAATAAATAAAAAAATCTGCTATCTTAAAATTGATTAGTACCATTTAAATTACCCACTGATTGACTTTGAACTGGATAATTACATATTTAATAACCTTCAGTCTAGCAACAAAAGAGAAACCCACCTGGATTCAAGGTTAAAGAGCTATTGATTTATATTAATGTTCCATCAAAATGGCACTGTCACTTTTGTGATGGGCACACACATTTAACTACTACACCAAATTACTTTGGGCTATGAGAACACAACAAAATATTTTTGGGGACAACTAAATCAGAATTATTCTTGAGAGACATCTACAACATGGGTATAAACCCATGAAAAAAATTTTAAATTATTGTTTATTGTTTATGCTATTACAGTTGTCCCCACTAACCCATGGAAATTGTTAATGCTATCTTTCCACTCCATAGTTGATATTCTTATTTTCCCCTTAGCTCTATTTGCTTCCCCTTATTTTCCTCATTTTTTTAAATTTTGTTCATTCAATAAGCAAATCTGAGCAATGCTTATGTACATATAGAGTTCCTTACCTGAGTCAGGATTTCGTCCCAGAATACCTTAAATGGCTGCTAATACCTTAAAACGCATTAAAACCCTCAGAGAACACCTAGACAAATCCTCTTTTTAAAAAAATGTTATTTTTTAAAAATAAGGGAGGCATTTGAGTCATGTGGAGTCTCTGGGTCATTGAACTAATGTTTCTTCATCACTCTATTTTACATTTTCTTATATGTTTGAGAATTCTCCGTATTTGCTAGGGGCAATGCTTTGCTTTGCTGAGGAAACTCAGGAACAACTACAGTTTAGACTGACCAGGATATAGGATGGTTATGTCTATAGAATATCTTTCAGGTGGTCCCTAATTTAAAAAAATTATATAATAACAAGTACCAGATATTTTGTTATTTTTGTTTTATTTTTCCTGAGATACTTACCGCCATATGTTTCTGACCCCCATCCTGTTACATAAGCAGTGGAACCAGGTAGAATATTCTGGGTAGCTTCTGGGAGACATACCATATGGATATTTTTGTTAAAGGTGATAGGTCTGTCAAGTCTCACAACTGCAATATCATTTTCATGAGTTCCAGGGTTATAATTGTTATGGATCAAAATAGTATTTACTCTTCTTCTCTCCTGAGGAAATATTGTGGAAATACCAAAGGTAGCAGTCCATCTATTAGGATCAGAGTTGCTAAAAACAAACAAACAAACAAAAAACCCCCATGAAACCATGGATTTGAATAGGGAATCTGAGCATTTTAAATATTTGGATTTTGTGTTTGTCACCCCCACTATCATCTAGGAACTACTTGATCAGCCTCTCTTTGATATACATTTCTGTATTACATAGCTAGTAATTGAGTTTAACTCTTCGTTGGCACAATAAGCAATCATTTGTCTAGAGAACACAGAAAGATTTTAGAAAACATATCTTAGGTTCATGAAAATCTTGGTGGTGTTCTCTTCCAATGAGGATAGTCTGATACTTTGATAACCAGTATAACACAAATGCCCTTATTGATGTCTCCCTTTTCTACAACCTCCCCCAGCAACTAAGAAATCTGAAATAATGTCCACTTTAGTTTTAACTCATTTCTTCCCATCTTTATTTTTTTTTCTTTTCTTGCCTTTAGCCAAAACTCCATTCAAACAGTTGTGATGATAAGGGGCTCCCCTCTTATTAGTTGATGAATGATTTTTCTGTATTAAGTATGATGCTTATTGAAGATTTTTGTGCATGTATGTGTGAAGTATGTGTATGTTTATGTGTATATGTGTGGGGGGAGAGAAAGAGGGAGAGAGATAGAAAGAGATTGAGAGTAAGAGTGGGAGTGAGAGCACTCACTAATATAAAAAAAGTAGGGCATTATCTTTGTGACCTGCAAACTGGAACATTTTAGTCAAATTTCCAACACAAAAACCATAGGTTAAAAATGGATGAATCTCATGCAATCAAAATTAAGTATGTCATAGACAAGTTTACTAGATGGATGAGAAACCATGATAAAATACTTGCAATGTTTAATATAAAAAATTTCTGTAATATACAGAAACATCTATAAATCAATAACAAATGTACAGAAAACACATTATAAAATGGGCAAAATATATTAATAGGCAATTCATAGAAGAGGAAGGCCAAACAGCTAACAGATATGTGAAAAAATACTCAAACCCATTAGTAAGCTGAGAAATGGAAATTATAATAATAATAAGCATGTAATGTATATTCATAAGTGACAAAAATTTAAGAAGAGAATAATATCGTGTTGGTGAAGAAGAAAAATTCAAACTTTTTTGCGTTATTGGTGAAGATGTATACTCCTGGAAAGCATTCTAGCGTATTTGGCAAACTACATAAGTACTTCTGAGTACATATTTCAGAGAAATTCTTGAAGGTTTACAGAGATGCACATATGAAGGGGAGTGTGTGTGTGTATACACACTCTATGTGGTAGTGGGAAGCTGGAGCAACCTACTTGGATAAAGGAATATGGCAGATTCTGTGGGGGACCAGATTAAAATTCCCAGGATTGAGCCAAAACAGTAAGAAAAGATATGAGATATTATATACAATGATATTTATATAAATTAAAGACATAAACAAACACACACAAAAAATAAAAACCCTTTAGATTTTGTAGGTGATTGTATACTTAAAGACACATGTAAAATATTAGAGTGAGGTCTAGGGGGGCAGGCAAGGTCGTAGAAGTAGGATCCACATATAAAAGAAGAAAAATAAAATGAAAGAAAGAGAGAAAGATCTTGTATAGACTGGTGAAAAGAAGGATCTGTGAATTGTAAGGTTAACTCACCATGTTCCTAAAGTTGAATAAAAACAAAACTTAACCATATAATAATTTATTAATTTTGTGGAGTTGAGATATAGGTAGTGAAATTGATACAGAAAATAAAAATTGTTTATCCAGAATATACTTTTATAAGGCACAGTGGCATGTATAAGACTAAATACTAGTTAAAAGTTCTAAAGAAAAAATATTTGACAGCAAATAAATATATAATTATTTAAAATTGAACTTCATTTGATTGGCATCTTTACAGTGAAGATTCTGAAAAATAGTTTTTGTTTCTTTCCTTCTTACCTTCTTGCTTCCATACTCCTCTTCCTTCCTTATTTTTTTTTTTTTCCAGCAAATGAAGAAGAGCTTGGTTTGGGAACCAGTTAGATTTAGATTTGAATCTTGGCTATGCCGCATATTAGTAGTGTTATTCAGTGCAAGTTACTTAAACTCTCTCATTCTCAGTTTATTTAATGCATAATATATTATAGATGATTCCCTCTCACACAATTGTAAGTAATAATTCAGACAAGTAAACTATGTCACTGCTTGGAACAAGGTAAGTAGTCAATGAAGGTAACTATTTTCATTAATATTTTTGAAAGAATACATTAATGGCATAGAGCAGTCTAAGATCAACCATCAGTCTGTTGATTGGCTTACATAATTTAATGTGCAAATTTTCTGCAAGAATTCATTGTGCTAACATTTAACATTTTTGCATTAGTGTATTTAATTATACCAATAACACCAAGACATAGATAATAGTATATCCTTATTTACCCCTAATTTGAAAAAAATAGTAAAAAAGAGGCTTGTGAAGTTTCAATAATTTTCCTAACTTTGAAGCTAAGATTTAAATTGATCATTCTGACATACAACTCTTTGCTATTTACCATGATGATATACTATTACCTGAAATAAAGAAATAGAAATAAATTAGTAAGCTGAAGCTTTTGCTATTATGAAGAGGAAAAAGTACTCAATGTTTTTGCATTGAATTATTTACGACTCGAACTGATCATGTTCAGTCCTCGGGGTGTGGGTGGAGTCCTTATGCATATGGCTCCTCTGTTCCATCTCCTGTTCCAGATGGGCAGGTAGCTGTGGCCTCACCTTCTGAAGCAGTGAGCTGCTGTCAGAACCCATATGTTACTGATCAGGATGCCTCCACAGTGGTGAACGTTGTTCAACCGTAGACTAACTTGCCATGGCCAGTCTCCTTCCTCGGCCTTGGTGCCTCCGATGACTCTTTCTTCAGACAATGTCATTAGGTCTGGACGGGCCCCACATTCTAATGAGAAAAGGGCATTAATGTGCTGGGAATATCATGATTCATTTACTTTTGGGAGATGTTGCAAGGGTCTCTCCATCATTTATGATTTTTATGTGTTCTTTTATGTATTCTTTCCCTGGACATGCTAGCTTTTCTAAAAGCATGATCAATTTATTATATTTTTACAGTACTTAGGTGACTACTGTTGTCTATAAACTGAATTTTAGAGAACATTTCTGAACTTATTTGGCACGTGGTTTCAAATTTTGGAACAGCTTCAGAGTTTTCTGGAATTCCTCATGAATTGGGATTAAGATAGTTCAGTGTTGGATGCACCAGCTCAGGCCACAGGTTCACTAGAAAATTTCCATCTTCTCTGTAGCCTTGTTACTCAGTGTGGTCTTTGACCTGCAGTATGGGCATCCCTGGAAGCTATTGCAAGTGTTGATGCTGTATGGAAACAACCTACGTGTCTGTCAGTGGATGAATGGATCAACAAAATGTAATACACACACACACACACACACACACACACACACACGCACACACACAGTGGAATGAGAACTATTATTTAACTTTAAAAAGAAGGAAATCCTATCATTTGCAATAACACTGATGAACCTTGAACATATTGTATTAAGTGCAATGAACCAGCAGAAACAACTTAATGCTTAAGATCCAACTACTACATGGTATCACATGTGGAATCTTAAAAAAAAAAAAGTCAAACTCTTAGAAACAGAGAGTAGAAATTAGTTATCAGGGCCTAAGGGTGGGGGAAATAAGTTTGGTAAAAGGGTATAGACTTTCAGCTATAATGTGAAGATGTTTTGAGGATCTAATATATAACATGGTGACTATAGTTGATAATACTCTATTGTATAGTTGAAATTTGCTAAGAAAATAGATCTTAAATGTTCTTACCAAAAAAAGGAAGGGGAGGAAAGGAAGGGGAGGGTTAAACATGTGAGGTAATGGATGCGTTAATTAACTAGCTAGGGGGATCTTTTCACTGTACATCTCTCTCTCTCTCTCTTTCTCTCTCTCTCTCTATATATCAAAGCATGGCACTGTATACTTTATATCTTTCATCTTACAGTTGTATTTGTCAGTTTTACCCCAAAGATGAAAAAAAGAGAAATATTGACTCTTAGACCCATACTAGGGAACAAATCAGATTCTACGTTTCCCCCCTACTTTATTGAGGAATAATTGATAAATATAATTGTGTATACTTAAAGCATACAATGAGTTGATATACATATAATTGTTGAATAATGACCAAGATCAAGATAATTAACACATCCATCACCTCACATAGTTAACTCTTTTGTGTGTGTGTGTGTGTGTGTGTGGTGAAAATGCTGAAGATCCTGTTATTCCTAAGAATATTCTATGGATCTAAAGTAATTCCTTTCAATTTAGTCTTTGTAGGTTGCTGAGAGTAGGCCTCAAACATTCTCCCCCCGCCCCACACACAGGTTTATTTAAACATCTTTGTCTTAAACTAATACAAAATAATGTTGAATGTAAACTATAATTGAAAAATTTTAAAAATAAAAAGTGAAACAAATAAACAAAAATTATCTTAAGAGAGTCCATGAGCTCCAGTGGCCAAAACTGAAGTGGGCTTGGGTGGGGCAATCACTCAGTTCCTCTCAACTTCCACCCCCATGATTTATTTCCCCTTATTTAGTCTGTCACTAAGAAATTACAGCAAATTACCACCAACAATTTCTATTGCTGGGCCAGATCTAAATGAGAGATACTGCTTCAATATGACAACCATCCAAAGGCATTTTTTTTTCCCCTGACAGATTTCCCAGATAGAGAAGGGCCAGATTTCCATTAAGAATATACATGAAACAGAGCTTCCTTTGCTTCAGCCTCCAACCAAATCCTCTAGTAATTTACTTAAGCACATTATCATTAAAAAGAAAGCATGATTTAAATGTACAATGAAATTGAAAAACACCCATAGAGGTAGCATTATCTTGAAATATAACTTAAGTATCTCAAATAGGCCAGCTATCCAGGCATATCAAAATACCCTCTAACTACATTTTATCAGCAGAGAAGAAAATTGCTGTTTTCTAGTGATTGTATTTCTGCTATTCTACCTAAAGAGCATACAGAATGGCATTGGAAAGTAGTGATTTTCCTTTAGGTAATTGACATAAAACTGACAACTCTTTATATGGTTTTTAAAAATTCTACTTTATAATTAACTTAAATCCACAATGAAGCAAACTATTCTGGTGGTTAGGAGAAGCCATATAAATGATGTCACCAAACATAATTTATAACTCTACAGAAACGCCACCATAAGACCAGGCAGGGACAGCTTCCCAAAGCTGCCAAGAAATTTTTCATGAGGTCACACTCAATACAGATTGGGTGGAATGCCACTGCTACCTCTTCTCCCTTCTAAAAGGAGAGGAGAACCTGACAGTCACTCCATGGGCCAATGGAACCAGCAATGTCTTATCTCTACAACAACTTTTGTGAGTGAACTAAGAATAACATTATCACCTCAACAGATACAGACTTGGCAAAGAGCACAAAAAACTCGACCACTTACTCTTTATATTCTGGTAAACCATCTTTACAAAATAATTTTAAAAGTTACCTTGCGTGAACAGATTTACTGCATCTTGGTCAGTAAGTGCTGGTATCAAAAGACAAAAAGAATCAGAGTAGGGTTAATACATTAAGGACTGTATATCATTTTATTTTCATTTCCTAAAGTGTAGCCCTCAGATACCCATTATCAGGGACACTTAGAGGGCTGCTGAAATAAAATTTCTAGGCTTCTCATGTAGCAATGACACTACTTCTGCCAGTAGCTGGACAGCTGAAATGGTCTTTTGACACTTTCTTTCTTGTCATTTTCACATCTTGTTGGTTTCCAGATTTTGTACCTTCTTGCCTCTAATTCTCCTTTGAATTAGCTCCATCCTCCCCACCCTTTGACCACTACTTTAGTTAATGCTTTCATCAGTTGATGCCTATACCCTTACAATAACCTTCAAATTGGGTTCCCTGCGTCCACTTTGTACTTTCCCATGCATCCACCTCTACTTTATCAGACTGATTTTTCTAAAAATGTGTGATAGATCATATCTTTTTCTGACCGAAATCTTTTAATGAGAAATAAGCTTTTATTTCCTATAAATCTAAACTTCTCAGACGTGTAAATTTATTGACAGAAGTTTCACAGGGCTTATCACATCTGCCTTGTAAGTGACAGAAGAGCTAAATAATCTTTTTGGCAGCAGGAAATAAAAAGAGCTGACCACTGCTTTTCCTTCTCTGAACAGAGATACTTGACTTCAAATCCTGACTTCTCTATGTGCTGACTGTGACACTGGGCAATTATCTGGATTTTCTGAGTGGAGACAATGAAAGTATCTATAAGATACGGTTGTTGAGAGGATTAAATAAGCTAATGTCCGAGTGTCAGCCAGCCAGAAAGGACACACCAGCCAGAAAGGACACACCAGCCAGAAAGGACACACCAGCCACGGAGCTGCAGCAGAGCTGGGAGTCCAGGTTAGGGCTGTGGAGACAACTTTGTGGTCCTGGTACAGCAGATTTCAAATCGCTTTCCTATCTGTTGGTAAACAATCAAGTTGAATACCAGGCTGGTGTAGGAGCTGCCAATATCCTTTAATCCTGAGCTTATTATGAGGGAATCATAGTTTACTAAGCTAGTAGTATATGACAAAGTTGGAGGAGTGTCCTTCCATTCTCTGCACACATTAAGTAATTCCTTTCTTTTACTCATGCAACAAATATTAATGGAGTATCTGTTATACTAGATACTAAGTAGTAGGATAGTTGGATCAGCAAGACAGACTGGTTCTTGCCTTTAAGAAGCTTGTAGAATAGTATGAAGACAATACAAAAAACCATAAATAATTTTGTAGTTTCTTTTGTGATAAATGTTATGAAGGTAAATGAAGGGGTCTGTGACAAGGGTAAATAATTGAGTGATGGAAGTTAGAAAAGACTTACATTAGAAAGTAACAATTCTGATGAGACCTGATAGATGGCACAGGGGTGATCTAGGGAGTATTATAACAAGCTGGAAAAATGCATGCAAAGGCCCTGAGGCAAGATGAAAGGAGCTTGGCAGTTGGGAAAATATGACAGTATGGCCAGATTACAGTGAATGAGAAAGAGAGTGGTATACTACGAGGCTGGAGCGCAAGTATGAACCAGATCATGCAGTGCTTTAGATGGGATGACCATATTATTTATTGTCCAAACCAAGACACTTAGGGAGCAATATTAATTGTGGTTCTTGGGACAACTGACATGAACTGAGACTGTCCTGGGCAAACCAGAAAATACGGTATTCCACTTACAGGGGTGTGAGGGCACCCACGAGCGCGCGTGCGTGCGTGCATGTGTGTTTTATGGGAAGCCATAGGAGAATTTTAAGCAAGATTATACTGTAAAATATTTCCTTGGTCAATATGTGGGAAATAGATTGGAAGGAGCCAAGAAAATATGTACAAAGAGTAGTGTGGAGGCGAGTACAGAAGTTCAAATGAGAAATGATGTTGGCATGGATTGGAGCAGTAGCAATAGGGATAAGAGCAAATGGGCATAGATTCAAGAAAAGCAGAAATGGACATGATTTTCCAAAAGAATACAGAGATATTGCTCAATCTCCTACTTTTTTCCTTTAGTCTACAAATATTTATCTGGCAACTTACAGCTGCATGCTTTGTTCTGGATGAGGTGATCATTAATTAAATTGTTCTCTGGCCTTGAGAAGCCACTTACCATTCCTGCAACATACCTGCAAATCAAAATCTCACAACATTCATCATAAAGAATATTGAAAGGGAAATATTAATAAAACATTTTAGCAAATAAAATTTACTATATGAACACTAAATGATTCTCTAAACTTTAGAATGTTTTATATTAGAGGGCTACATATTATATGTAGCTTTATAATATATTCTTTTAATGAAATTTAATTCCAAGGGGAAAAAAAGGTCAGCCTCTTATTAAGTTAAAATATGGGTTAGTTAAACTGAAGGATATATTGAAACAAAATGGTATATAAAAATGGTACTTGCTTATTATCTCAGTCGGAAGGTTAATTTCCAAGTTTCCAAAATTATTCAGCATTTGACGTAAAACAGACTCAATTCTGCTTTTCATTGATTCTCCATTGTTATTTCTAGGGAATTTAAATTTCATAACAGTATCTGCTATCACACCACTGCCACTTTGCCTGAAAACCATAAAGATATTTTTTAAAATGGATAATTATGATAATTTTCTGCTATTCTATTTATATACTCCTCTTGAATGAACATTAAAAAGCATTTACTTGAGGTATTTAACTTTAAAACAGGTCTACATAACCATGTTTACTTATGTAATGATATATTATGATACTATCCCACAGGTATCTGATCTTAGTGCATAGTGCATTATACCTGGCTTTGAAGTCAGAATGTCAGAGTTTGAATACCAACTCTGAAATTTACTGCTTGACAGTTGATAAGCTCCTTGTTTCTTAATTTTTCTGTATCTAAGTCTCCTCATATTAAAATAGGTTATTATGAAGGTTATATAAATTAATATATGTAAAATTTTGGAGAATAATGTATAGAATACAGTAAATGCACTATAAGTGTTAGCTATTATTAAACTTCACAAATCTTCCAAAAAAAACAAAAACAAAACAAAAAACAAACTACCCCTCACCCCAATAAACAGTTATAAAGAAATGAGTTTCCAATTTTATTGACTTAGATGCTCAAGCTAAATTTCTGGTTCCTACACCTGTTTATCTGGCCACAAAATTAAATTTTAGCTTTTGTAGGCATATGTTCAGATTTTATCTCCATTTCAATTGACCACAGATATTCCTCACTACAAGCCTTGATAATTATGTAACACTGAGAGAATTTCTGCTTCTTCCATGTAGATCACCATGTGAATCACTTCTTCCACCAAATATTGGATGTCTTTTTTTTGAAAACCTGTATTAGGCAAATTTGGTCTTGATGCTCTCATATGCACCCTAGGCCTCCTCCGCTCATCCAATCACATTATGCCATGGTATTCATTCCAGATATTAATTTAGTATTTACTTAGCAAATATTAAATAAGCACCTTCTAGTGCTATGTGCTATTTTTATTTTTATAAATTGTCTATGACCAAGACTCACAGTTGGCTCTTGCAGTTTAGAAGGAGGAGCAGACCCTAAACAAATAAGTATAACCCCCATTTCTAGCAACATGAAAGTCTAAATAATTTTTAAAAATTTTCTAGCCAAAACAACCAGAAATGCTAGAAAAGTGTAATAAATTCCATTTGAAATACAAGGGTGAGCTCACATGAAAGTATGAGAAATCTTGGAAGACCAAAAATAAAGAAAAACATGAATATTATGTGGTAAACTCTAGAATGTTCAACAGGCTTGAGTTTTAGCATTTACGTAGACACTGAATATGAAGCTTTGGGTTAGTGCAAAATAGGGAGATGAGCATGAGTTTCAAAATAAGGTCAGAATTTTTAATGAACTAAATCCTTAGTGAAAATATGGATTAGACAGAAAAAATTCTGCTCATCTCATTACAAATAGATAAATAAATAAATAAATAAATAAATTAATTAATTAATTAAAGTAAATAAGTTTGTCTCAGAGGTCCAGGTCTAGATGGGAAAAAAAAGTTTCTCTTGAGTATTCATAACTATGACCCTGGCTATATGAAAGTTCTGAGTTTGCATTTATACTATTTGCATGGTCCCAGAGACTTTGAGCTAACAAACTGTTTAGAAAAAGCAAAATTCAGGCAGCATCCCATATAGCAACTGGAAGGGCATTCCAAGGGGTTGTACAAAATGGAAAGCTTTCAGAGGTAGAGAGGTCGGGGAGGGAGCTGCTAACAAGAGAGGAGTATTATTTTTAGATCATGAAGTCTTTTTGGGGGGTGGTGGAGGAAATTGTTAGGGTTTTTATCATGCAGATTGCCTCTTGTTTCCATGGTGGGGAGAATGGAGTTGGTCCACATGACAGATTACCTAACTAGTGCTTATCCAGAAAATTCCAGACTGTTTGATTAAGATTACATTTCTGGGAGAGGTTGAAAATGCAAGTATATCAGTTTTTTTGTTTTTGTTTTTAATTATTTATTGATTTGAGATAGAGAGAGAGTGAAACATCTGTTTGTTGTTCCACTTATTTATGTGTTCAGTGGCCAATTGTCATATGTGCCCTGACAAAGGATCAAACCCACAGTCTTGCCATATTGGGATGATGCCCTAACCAAATGAGCTACCGAGCCAATGCCTAGATCAGGTATTAAATCTAGGTTTGGTGTCATGGGTTTTTTGCATGAGTGATGCCATTTTGGGCCTGTGTTTTTCTCTTCAACATAATTAACTAAAAAATGGTCCATGTTCTGCTGATCTTTTTACAGTGTCTGATAGAAGCAATTTTCTAAAGGTTATATAAAATCTAGGCGTGTAAAATCCCAGTTATAAAGTGAGATTAAATATAAGCATGCAACCCATTGGTGAAAAAAAATACCTCATGAACTAGAATCTGTAGGACAAGAAGAGCATCCTCAAAAACAGATAGTCAGGTAAGTATGTTTGCAATAGTTAATGATATGAAAGGGGGGAATCATACATATGAAAACAGTTCATAGGAGATTATCAAAACAGACTAGACAGACTTTCTAGAGTCAAACAGAGCTTGCAGACAGGAAAACATAGTCAAAGTATTTTTTGTTGAAACTCAATGGATGGGTTACACAGAATAATAGGCAAAGCTGAAGAAAAATTAGTTAACTGAAAGACAGAGATGAAGAAATCACGTGGAATATTAACACAGATAAAGAGATGGAAAAAAAATCAAATATGGGCTCAGAGACAGGAGAAATCTCAATGCTTTCCTAACATAGTGCTAAAGAAGAGCACAAAAAAAAAAAGGAGCAGCCATATTACAACAGATAATGAGAATTTTCCAGAATTGATGAAGACACAAAGCCTCAGATCACAATGACACTAAGTAAATAAAAGAAAACCCACATACAAATATATTATAATAAAACTGAACTCCAAAAACAAATGGAAAGATTTCAAAAAATAGAGAGAAACTAGCTACCAAAGAACATTTTGACTGAGGGGCAATTTCTTAATAGCAACAATGGAAGGCATATGTAATTGTATCTTCAAAGTGCTGAAGGCAATTAGCTATCAATTTACAATTTTATATCCACACTAAAGTATTATTCAGGTATTATTCATGAGGCTAAAAAGGACATTATTCAGATCAAAGCAAAACAAAAAAGGTTTAGTTTATTACTCATGTACTCTCTGCAAGAATTTATAAAGGAAATACTTCAGTAGAAGGAAATTGAACACAGAAGGAGGGTAAGAAGCACCGGAAAAATTTGGAAAAAAGAAAATAGTTAACTTGTAATCTAAAAAGACATTGACAGTATAATCATAGTGACTAATTGGCATTACAAATGAGGTGGAACTAAAACACCATGAATAACAATATGAGTAAGAGTTCCAAGTTCCCTGGGAAAAAGGGTAGTGGATTAAACAACTCTCCCTGTTCATATTTTAAGTATATTCACTAAAGTAATGTAAGTAGAATGCAGTACTTCTAAAGTAGTGAAAGAAGAAAATGAAGAAAAATCACACAAAAGAAGTCAAGAGAGTAGGAAACAATAGAAAAAGCAAGATAAAGAAAACATAATATGGTAGAAATAAATACAAATGTAAAATTCATTACAATAAATGTAAATTGACTAGACTCTCTAGTTAAAGGCAAAGGTGGTCAAAATACATTAGAAAATGTAATCTAGCTGTCTTCTTATTGTAGGAGAACTATCTAACCTGTAAAGATACATAAATGTTGAAAATAAAAGAGTGGTAAACACTGAAAAATAACCACAAGAAAGTCAATGTAGCCACAGTTATATCAGACATAAGAGATATGATGGTTAAAAAAATTAATTAATGATAAAAAGAATTAATACCTAGATAAAATAAATAATTCATGAAGAAGATACAACAATTCTAAATATATAGGCACTTGATAACATATCCTCAAAATATATTGCATAAGGAGAAACATACAAATCTATAATGGTAGATTTTATTTGAATGACACACTTATTAAGTCTAAGTGCAAGGAACAGAATTGATTTTCCAGAAAAGGACTTACAGACATACATAAACAATATATCACAGAAGTGGTAATGAAAATCTAAAAAAAAATCACTTGTGTGAAAGAATTATATTAAATCTCTGTCTCATACTATACACAAAGCACTTGAACATGTGCAACAAAACTTAAAACTTACAAGAAATGTTGGGAAATATCTTTACATACATGGATACATACATACATACATAAGAAAAGAATTTCTTAAATAAGACATTTTACAACTGATTTTTCAGGAAAAGATTCCATAAACAATATAAAGATATTCTATAGACAGGGAGAATATATTTGCAACTCAGAAAGTGACAGATGATTAGTACCTACTATAAATACAGAACTTCTACAAATCAATAAGAAAAAGAATAATAGACAAAATGGAAAAGATGAATATGCAAAGAGGAGGGACCCTTTGTGAATGACAAACATGTAAATAAATGCTCAAACAGGACTAAGTGTTTCATACTTACTAATTTATTTGATCTTCATAACATCTCTATCAAAGAGACATGTCACCTCCTCATGGAAGTTGTGAATAAAAACTGGCTTTTCAAAGGAAGTTATCTCCTGATTTGTTGGCTTTCTGTACCTCAAATTCTCTATTAACAGGGAATTTGAGGTACAGAAAGGTGAAAAAATATGCGCGCTCATGTGCGTGCATGCGTGTGTGTGTGTGTGTGTGTATTTCAGTCAGGGAAATAGCTTGTGTGAGGGTCTTGGGGTTAGGGAAAGTGAAGAACTGAAAGAAGTCTAGCAGCGAATAAAGAACATAAAGATGGTACAAGGAAGTCAGATGAAGGAAGGTTTAGTATTTCTATACATATATATGTAAATAAAATGTCTCAAGGAGACATATATACACACATATATCTATATTATATATATTAAGAATGCATATATCTTTGATACATGTATAATGTAGATTGAGGAAAGACAGGAAAATTATTAAAGATGACTCATATTTCCTTCTTCAGCAACCAGGTTGAAGTTTTGCCATTAACAGAGGTAAGCAACACTAAAAGAATAACATTTGGTGAGGGAGAGATGATAGGCTCAGGTCTGCACATATTCAAGTTGAGTGTTCTGCAAGATATACATACGATGATATCAAGTAGATGGCTGTGTATGAAAATAAAATTCTAGCCCAGAGATTCAACTTTAAGAACAATCAGAATATAGGTGGTAATGAAGGCACTGAATGGAAAGAATGGAAACTGAGAAGATGAGAGGCTTGTAGCACAGTTTCACATTCAACAACAGTTGAGGAACATACAGAGAAAGAATGGGAACTAGCAAAGAAAATAAAGTGGACAGGTAAGAGAAAAATCAGGGGTCTTTAGGTTTATAGAAACCACAGGATGGCACTATGTCAAGGAGGATTGAAAGTCTAACTGTGCCATGTTCTGCTGAGAAATCTAAAGAGAAGACTGAAATGATTTCTTTGGAGTGTGTTATTTGGATGTCATTGTTGAATTTAGCAAGAGCAGTTAGCATTTTGTGGCGGGTTCAGAATTGGGATTGCAGGGGATTAAGTAGTAAGGGGGAAGTGAATAAAAGGAGAGAAAATACAGATAGCTCCTTTGAGTCCTACCTGTTTTGAGAGCTAGTGGCTATTACAGAGATTTTCACAAGAAGGCACTAAGGCAAATGTACACTGAAGTGCATTTTGGAAACTACTTTTTTCATAGATTCTTTCTACTTCTCTAACCCCTCAACAAAACTTATCTGACCAGAGCTCTATTCTCCTGGGTATTTATTAGGCAACTCTACAGAGAATAAGAAAAATTAATTTTATTGTGGTGTTGGTATTTGAGAAAAAAATCCTTTTTTTCTTTCAAAGAGCTTTTGCAAACTGCTTGCAGGATTGACCAATGTGGATATTTGAGGCATTTGTGGTAGGGTCAGTAAAGCGTGACTGTTTTAGTTGTGATTGCTTGTTTTATCACATTATATGAATAGGTACAAAATCAATTAAGGCAGGGAAGGCAAATAGCTAGCACACATGCTGCTACTCCCTCTATTATTAATTCATGACAGGCATGCTTGGATTTGCCACAACTTCATGTTTGTTATAGCATTCCAGGCAGACAAATACCCAAGCCACCTTTGATGTTGGTTATGGTCTTCTGGTCTCGGATGCGTGTGTCCAGGAGCACAGCACCGCACAGCTCCAGAGGGCCCTGTTTACATAGACTGCATTTGCAGGGTACCCACCGGATTTACACAACAGGATAGCCCTGTGACTGTGCCTTCACCCACATCTCTCTCCTTCCTTTCCTTCTTTTCCTACCAAGAATTAAATATGGTTATTTACATTAGTAAGTAAATAGGTCCTATCGGGCATGTTTTATTTTTGTTTTGGCATTGTTTTTTAAGCTGCCCATGAAACTATTTTAAAAATATTGCAATGAATTGTGTGAACATTTCATTCATTTTCCATGCTGTGAACAAAAGTCAAATGGACATTCAAGTTTGCATTTTTTGGATATAGTTCCACTCACCTCAGTTTGATAACATGAGCTCTGATGAACTGATTTCTTAAATTCGATTCTTTGAATGTTGTAGTAATCTGTAGAAAGAAACAGGGGGAAAATACCTGTCTGTAATTACAGTTCTTCCTCTCCTTAGTTGTATCTCCCAAACCTTGCAGCGTGGGACTTATTAGTGAGAAATAGGGACTTGAGGTATCAGTTCAGCTCAGTTTAGTTTAATTGCATTTCTAAACCTGTGGGGTTGATTTAGGCAGGTTATATAAACGTTTGATGCAGGACTTTTTCTTCATTTATTACACACAGATGATAGCAGACAGTATGTGTCTTCACTAGAAGCCATTCTAATCACACCAGATGCCCAGGATGGGCATCAGGATGGATGAATCCTGATTGAAATCTGTTGTTTTATTTGAAGAGACCCATTCAATCGGCATTTACGCTTTTGATACATGCATTTTGCAAACAGGTGCTTCCATTATTTCTAAATGGCTCGTTCATTTATCAGTATTCAACAACAGTTATGGACCACTTCTTGTGCTCCACTTCCCTTCCCCGTATCAATTACTGGGATGCAATGGTGAGAGAAAATAAACAATCCTTGCCATCATGGAGCTTACATCTAACTGGGGAAGACAGGCACAAATAAAATTATCATCCGCACTTAAGTAAAACAACTTTGGTAAGTGTAGCATTTTGGAGAGGAATTAGATGCAGTCCATGAGATTAGAGAAGCTTCCTAGAGGAAATTCTTATGGAGGTGATACCCTCAGGAAGAAGTAGAGTTAGCTGGCTGAAGAGGAAGGAAAACCTTGCAGGTGGAGTGAATGGTACATGCAAAGTCCTGCAGTGGGAACAAACAAGTTGTGTTTAAGGAGTAAAAGAAGGCCAGTGCAAGTATGTAGCATAGAGAGCAAAGAGGTCAGGATGATAGGAAAGACCAGACCATCCAGCATTTGGTCTTTACCATAAACAATGGAAAGTCACTGAAGTGTTTTAAACAAGAGGAAAATGTAGTCAGATTTGCCATTTGAGAACAGTATCTCTTGATGCATATGGATAATCAGTTTTAGAGAAGAAATAATGCAAATTAGTTATGGTGCTATTTTAATACTCTAGAGGTGATGTCTTGGAAGGGCATGGTGGTAGCACTGAATCTGAGGCAAATATGGGGGTTAAAACTTACAGGACTTGGTAAGGAATTTGATATTTGGAATGACAGAGAGTAGTATGTCAAGGATGAATTCTAGGTTTTTTATTTGAAAAACTGAATAAATAATATTATCATTAATGGGACTAGGATTGCTGGAAGAAGGCTAGGATGGTGTGAAAAGACCATGGATTTGGTTTTGGGACATAATGTATTAGAGATTTTTAAAAACAGTAAAGAGATCAAGCTGACAGTTGGGTAAAAATGTATGAAGTACAAAAGAAAAGTCTGGGCTAGAGATAGTGTCATTAGTATATAAATTTTGGTTGAAATCAGGTCATGGATGAAAGAATCTAGAGATAGAAAACAGTGTGAGAGGAGAGGAGGGTGTAGGTCAAAGCCTTGGGCTAATTTCAGCATTTACAGGCCGTGTGGGGGAGGGGGAGCTGTAAAGCGCACAGAAGGAGGGGCCAGAGAGGCAGGATAAGAAAAACAGGTGAGTGGATAGTATGAATACCTCTCATGGAAATCACAAAAATTATAGACTTTTTGAGTTATAAAGTACTAAAAAAAACCATTTAGACCAACAACTTTCCTGATGAGTAAACTGGGAACCAGAAAGAAGTGAGTTGTTTAATATAATAGAAGGACTATTTCACGGCTTATTAAGCATTACAATTTTGTCTATGGGACAAGGATAATGATGGTACACATGTTACCATTGGGAAGTGGTGTGATTCTTGGATTTGTGGACAGGACACCTGGGTTTGAATTCTGGTTCTACCACTTTCCAGTTGAGTGGCCTTTGACATTGCATAACCTTTGTTTACCTGGCTGTAAATATGATTTATTAATTCAAATGGCTGTTGTGAGTTGAAGGTTAAATAATATATGTGAAAGTTCTGTATAAACTATAAAGCACCATATTCAGGTATTACTCATATAATATTTTAAATGTTTAAAGTGTATTTACAGAAGGATAAATAAGATTAGGAAAGTCACAGATCAGAAGAATTTCAAGGGAGATCTTGCTCTGCCAGGTGTTTAAATATATTTTAAAGCCTCAATACTCTAAACAGTTTGATACCGATGCAGGCAAGATTAACCATTCAAAGAAAGTAGAGTACAGAAAATAGAAAAGGAAGAATTTAGCATATGATAAAGGTAGCATGACAAATAAATCAATTGCACTATTTAGCATATAGTTTTGGTACCCCCACCTAGTTATTTCCTGGGAAAAAGCTGGATCCCTACCTTACTGTAAAATAAGTTCCAGATGAACCATAGATAAAATTATAAAAACTGAAGTGATACAAATACAAAAAGAAAATGTGAGTGAACATGTTAGAATATTTGGAGAGCAGAAAGACATTTTTAATTGGCACAAAAGTAAGAAATCATAAAGTATCAATAATTATAGCTACATAAAAATATTAAATCTATTGGGCATAAAAAAACCCTACATTATATACAAAGTTGAAAGTTAAATTACATATTAGGGATATATATATATAACATGGATGACAGGTAAATTTTAATATTCAAATAAAGTCTTTTTCCCAAAAATTATATAAAAAAGACAAATGCTCCATGCAGTAAGAAAATGGTCAAAGTCATGACCAAGAAATTAAAAAAATAAAGTCATGAAAATGACCTATTAAGATATGAAGGCTGATTAAATCTTACTAACAATCAAAGAAATGCAAATCAAAATGATGAGATATTATTTTTTACTTATTGGCAACAATTAAAACATCCACAAGCCTAGTGTTAATGCTGTGGAGAAATAAGCACACTTATGTATACTGTATACTACTGGTGAGAATGTAAACTGGGGAACCTCTGGAGTGCAAGCTAGATATTAAGATAAAAGTTTAGAATCCACAGATCCACTATATTGGTATAAGAAAGTGCTTGAATAAGCAAATACATATAGAAATAGACAAGAGAAGAATTTTAAATATTTTTCTTTTTTCTTTTTTAAAGATTTTTATTTATTTATTTTTAGACAGAGGGGAAGAGAGGGAGGAAGAGAGGGAGAGAAATATCAATGTGTGGTTGCCTCTTGTGTGCCTACCCACCAGGGACCTGACCTGCAACCCAGGCATGTGCCCTGAGTGGGAATCAAACCAGCAACCCTTTGGTTCACAGGCCAGCACTCAATCCACTGAGCCACACTAGCCGAGGTAAATTTTAAATATTTTTCAAACATTCAAAACATAACTCTCTAATCCCTTATTCTTAATGTGTGGCCACTCATAGTGCCTTTCTTCTGAAGAGTATGGTGTGGAAGAGGGACAGAGTAACTTTAGGGTAGAGACCTGACAGCCAGGTGATCGAGGTCAACAGTGATAAGTCATATTAATAATATGTACCCCCTTCATATGACATAATGAAAATGACACTGCTCCTCTGTGGTCTTCTGCTCCCAAACTCATAGCCCTGCTCTAACTATGAGAAAAACAGCAGAAAAACCCTGATGATGGGACAGTCTATCAAACACCCAGTCAGTACTTCTCAAAGCTGTCAAAGTTATGAAAAGCAAGGAAAATCTCAGGAATTGTCATCATTTACAAGAGCCTGAGGAGACGAGACAAATAAATGGAATGTGATATCCTGGATGGGATCAAGGAACAGAAAAGTACTTTAAATAAATAAACAATGGAAATTGAATAAGATAAAGCATTTGATTAATAATAATGTATCAATACTGGTTCATTAATTTTAACAAATACACTATTGTATGGAAGATGTTAATAGAGGAAGCTGGTTGTGATGTATAAGACATGTCCATATTATCTTTACAACTTTTCTATAAAGCTGAAATGGTTCTAAAATAAAATCTTCAATAAAAACAAAGAAAACATTTAAAAATCTCTAGGAGGGGGGAAGAAAGCATAGATCTCATACTCTGATAACTCTGCTTCTGAGAAAATGTCCCAAACATATAATCATGCAAATGTACAATGATATATAAACAAACAAAACAATAGGGTGGTCATCAGAGTAGTGAATATAATAGTGAAAAGCTGGGGACAATTTAAAACTCTCTCAATATAGGACTGGTTATATAAAATATTATACATCTATATATTATAATACTGCTTAATTATTTAAAATGGTATATTTCTAAATTTATTGATATTTAACTCAACATTTTTGGGAGAAAAGTAGACAAACTAGCATATATAGTCTGATTTCATTGACAGATAATTGTATGTGTCTGGGCATGTATGATATATGCAGTTTGCATAAAAAGGTACCTGGCACATCAAAATGTTAATAGTGGATATATGAGCGTTGAGATTTTGTGCATATTTCTTCCTTCCTTATATTTCTTAAATACACCAAATTTACTACATTTGTATATTATCTTTATAACAAGAGACAGTACAACTATCTCTTGTATAGTATAAGACACAGTACAACAAACAAAATAAACCTTGTTTATTTTGATAACAAGGTTTATACATGCATTGTTATTTACTTTAAAGAACATTTTTGATAAGAATAACAAACTAGAATTAGGAAATATTTAATAATTTTTATACTTAATAATTTTTAAAAATCCTCACCTGAGTATATGCTCCTCACCCAAGCATATGGTTTTTTTAAATTGATTTCAGAGCAAGAGAGAGAGAGAAGAGAGGAGCCTCAATTGGTTGCCTCCCATATGTACTGTGACTGGGAGATCTAACCTGCCGCTCAGTTTCTGCCCTGACCAAAGATCAAAAGTGCAGCCTCTTGATATACATGATGATGCTCCAACCAGCTGAACCACCTGGACAGACAGGGCATATATTCTTAGGATTCTTAAGAAAGGTAAGGGTAAGTAAGCAACCTGGAAACTGGTCAACTCTGACTCTGCAGGGCTGAAGGCGAGACCCTGGTTAGTGGTGATAAACAAATGCTGAGGGTCCGCTTGTGAGGTTTTTGGTGGGCAGCCTGTGGGCCTCTTTCAGTTGAAAGTCCAGGCTTGCTTTGCATAGTTTCTATGTCTATCATTGAGCCAAAGTGTGATGTTGACCAAACTATGTTATTATTGAAAGGCAAACATGTCTTTAAACACCAACCACCTGTGCGTTTAGTTGGATAAGGAAAAAAGAACTAAACCAAATGAAAAGGATATTAAAAGACAATCTCAAGGAGAGCACAATAAATGCCCAATTTGCACAAACCTTAGACTTCCAGTTTTAAAGTCATAATCACATGAAATATGTATTTAGTTATGACCCTTCTAATGCTTTTCATTCATGACTTAAGAAAATGAGAATAAGAACAGTATACTAGTAGATTAACTTGGAGCACAAGCAAACACATCTTTCACCATTCACAGTAGCAAAATATGCAGAACATCTAGCAATTGCAAATTTTTCAAAAATATTAGGTTTATTATCTTTTTTATGATAGAATACAGAACAAAGACAAATACTGACTTACCACAGATTCAATTCTTCCACTCAAAGTCCTATATTGCTGTGTACCTGGTGAATTTAACTGATCAGTATAGTTAACATTTAGGATTTGAAAGCTGCTATGGTAAAAGTAAGATTTTTTATCTGTAAAACAAAGAAAAAGCAGAATCAGTGTTGCATTACTAAGTACTTTAACCTTTAGTTTATTATGGATAAACTAAATCCTCCCAGGATTATGGGAGGCTATTATATAAGATTAAATATTCTTCCCTTAAAAGAAAAAAAATACTCTAAATTGAATATAAATGTCTCTATAATAAAATTATTCTCTTTCAGTTTTAAAAAAGATTGGCAAAACTAAGACTGTGAAAGACGTATGAAAATTAGAACAGCATTACTTGAGAAATTGTTCAGAAATATACTTTTCATTCTATATTTTGGAAAGATTGATAATTGCAGGTTTTTATATTAAAATATTAATGAATATCTATAATATGCTATTAGTTATCAAGGAATAACCTAAAGTAATTATAAATAGTTTTAAAAATTATTTCAAATAATTTTCCTTTTAGAGGAATTAGTGACTTGCCATTAATTTTCTGGACTAAGCTAGAAAATAAGTCTTCTAATAACATCTAATTGGGTGGTCCAATGTGAATTATTTCCACCAAAAAGTGTCTTCCAGATGACATATTTGGCTGTCTGAAGGAAATAAAAATCCCTAAAACATTCTCTACACATCTTAGAGACATTGTGAATGTGAACAGAACCTAATCTGTCTCAGGAAAAAAATCTCTCTACTTCCTGTTGATCATTTATGTATAATTTTTGCAGAGAAATCACTCAATGGCAGGAAGAAGTTGGAGAGCCTGGGGGAAGGATAGTGTAGTCTTTTGTGGCAGAAGAGCAAGTCTCACTAGGGCCATAAGTGGTCACTGGGATACACTTTGAAGAGGAGTTACCTAGGTTCCTGCCTTTGTGTTTAAGTTTGACAATACAGTGCCCTTAAGGGTGAAAATACATTAATTCAATCTGAAATTTTGTTTTTTTGCCTACCTCCATAATTCACCTTAAACATATTTGACCCCAGGAGACTTGATAGCAAAATGTAATCAAAAGCAAAATTTAGCCACAACTTTTAATTATATTGGCTGAAAATCCTAGTTACTTGTTTTTTCTAATATTGGTAATTGTATTGAACCATTTGGAGTTTTTCAGCCTTCATATAGTTAAGCGTTTTTGCCCATTTGCAATAGTACATCCAATAAAGTATGTTCTCACTCACTCTCCTCACTCATGCATCCCCCCACACCTACACACAGATCCCCATACATGTTTTAAAGGGTTTAACAGAATTATAGCTGAAATTAAAAAATAACCTCAAAGTGTATTTTTAAGTAAAAGAGTGGATGATAGCATATATTATCCAGTGAAATTTGACACATTTCTCTACATTAAAACATCTGAAAGAATATTCACTGAGATACTAAGAAAACTTATTTATGAATGAGCAGGGTATATGTATTCTTTATATTATTTGTTTCTTGTCCATGTTTGCTATATTTTTGTAATGTACTAATGAAAAGTTAAACAAAATAAGGAAAAAAATTAAAAAAACAGATTTCTTTTTAAAGTTTGCTTTTATCTCTTTCTTTTACTCAATTGCAAATTCGTCTCCTATTATAACTTCTGCTACTAAAACTGCGATTTCAGGAGACAGATTATGAATTAGCAAGTACTCAGGTATATCCAAATTTTAGGGTTGAAACTTAAGGTTCTTTAAAAATATTTACTTTTTATAATCTGATCAGATTATTACATGGAAAAGGAAATTGTAGTATTAATGAAAAACAAAATAGGCAAATTCTAGTATCAGAAAACTACAGAGATTTTTTCCTTTGGCTAGAATGCTCCTCCCTTGGGTAATAATGTTTATTACACTAAAAAGGCCAAAAGAGAGAAGAGAAAACATATAGATTGAGGGAAAATGTATTTAGGAGTACGTGTATTTTAGAAACCTATATTTAGGAATATATAAGAAATATAATTATATTAAGAAATAAAAATGATGACTAAAAATGGCAAACTTTTTATTTACATTAGTTTCAGGTATACAGCATAGTGGTTAGACCATTATATAATTTACAAAGTGATCTCCCTGATACTTCAAGTACCCACCTGGCACTACACATAGTTATATAATATATTGACTGTATACCTTATGCTGCACCATACATCCCCATGACTATTTTGTAACTACCAATTTGTACTTAATCCCTTTATCTTTTTTTCCTCAGACCCCCAACCCCCTCCTATCTGGAGACTATCAAATTGTTCTCTGTATCTATGATTCTGTTTCTGTATTGTTTGTTTATTTATTTTGTTCTTTAGGTTCTAAGTATGAGGGAAATGATATGGTATTTGTCTTTAACTTATTTCACTTAGTGTAATACCTTCCAGGCCCATCCATTTTGTCACAAATGGTAAGATTTCAAGGAATACCAAACTTTTGGCCTGAACGTATATTTAGTTATTTAGAGTGAAAAGTGGCACTTTTAATCTTCTGGAACTTACCAAAAGCTAAAAAGTGGATCAGTAGAGCTACTGTCACTGCCAGGATTATCACCACTGCGACAACAGCAAAGAACACCACATATGGATTCAGAAATCTTGAGGTCACTGTTGCTCGTGCTGGCCTTTGAACAAGAGAAAAACATCAAAGCCTACTCACTTCACTCAGAGAAGCCATTATTTCAGTGCTCATGATCATTTTCTGCCTCACTAAGTCTCTTATCTTGAACCGGTTCTATTTAGTGGAAACCAAGTGATTTAAAAAAAAATTTTTTTTTTTTTTTTATTGTTCAAGTACAGTTGTCTCCATTTCCAAGTGATTCTTGATAGGAATTTAGTTTTGGACATAAACCTGACCTGGACAACATTCTCTTTAACGGTTTTTCTTTCAATTTTTTCAGTTCTTTGTTGACATTTAGGTAGTTTGATAGAAAAATAAGGAAATCTGACCTTTGGTTTGCAATTATTTTCCCTTCTGCCACTTGATGAAATTCTCAAGAATAATAACCAGTTTTTCTGTTTTGTTATAACATCTTCCAGGACCCTATGTTGGACACTTACCGTAGCAAGCTCCCTCACCTGGGCACCATCCCCAGGACTGTACAGAAGACAGATCATTTTGAGTGAGGAGAGGGGTGAAGAGAATCAGAACAGAAACATTTTTTCATTGTAATATTATCCATATTATAAAAATGGGGATGTGGCCAGAAGCTGAGAGCTGAGAGTAGAGTAGCAGGAGAGTAGCAGACCCTTGAAATAAATGAGAACTGCACCGCCAGCAGAGGGTTTGAATTTGACATATCCGTTCATCTCTGGAAATATAGTCAATCCCTGTTTGAGAAGGAGAAGGGAGCTTTTTCTTGTGAATTTGTCAGTTACAGTGTAAGCCAATAGATTTATAACAGTCCAGTAGCTGCCATTGCATGAAGCATGTAGCCCAGATGCTATCTTTTACAGTGCCCCTCTGCCACCACACACACTCCTACTGGGGAGGCAATCAGAAGAGCTGAGTATGAATTCCTGTTTTCTTCCTTGTTTTTTTGGAGATCTTATTGTCATTTACCTGAGACTTTCGTTTTCTTAAGTATTAGAATAATAATACCTGCCTCACAAGGCTGTTTTGAAGATCAATGAGGTTATGTTAGGTGCTGTGAAGTATCTATTTCTAGTTAAATAGGTTATCCACTAGGCTGTGAACATTTTGAGAGGAAAGGCGGTATTAATGCTTATGTTTTTGACACTTTGTAGGGAGCCTGGCATATATAAGTGGTTCATAAGTATTTGTGATATTTATAAATATTTGCTGCATGTGTTGATTCCTGGCCATGTTTCAGATTTTAATGCCTTAATAGAGCTGATAAACAGTTACATTTGTTTTCTCAACGTTCTGGTGTAAGCGGGAAGGGAACGCTCTGAGGTCGGCGATTCCCAGACATTTAGGTTTCGCAGCATAGTTGCCAGGTGCTGTCTGGCCTCTACCCAACTCACACAGTTTTAGAAGGGCACCCAAAGCATGTCGTATGTTGTGGCTCTGGAACCAGTAACAAGTCAGAAAGTTACTAGAAGTAGGCATAGAACTGCTAACTTTCAATTTTGTTAAGTAAACACATTAAAAATGGACCATGCTCAAACATTATCATTTAATAAGACATTTAAATATGTGAAAGTAGACAGGACATAATCTCAGATAACAAAAAAAGGTGATGAATAATTTAGCTTTAGCTTTATGATGTCTTTTTACTCCATTGCCGTTATATGTTCGTTTTGCTATGCTAGTGAAAACTGATGTTCACTGACACTGGTCCACTAGTGTCAGTGTTTAGGAACCACTAGTGGTAATTTTCAAGTTGGAGAAAATTGGCACTTTGACATTTGTTGACTTTTGATCCTGTTTACTCATCTGGCACTTCATGGGGTTGCTGTGCCAATGACATGCGACCTCAAATGCACGGTGTTAGGCATATGTGAGTTCAGTGAATGTTTGTGGCTGTCCAGCAGTGGGAGAGCCAGAAGGAGACAAATTTTGAGGCAAGGCTAAACATAAAACCTTAAGTAAGTTTCAAATTGATTGAGCCTCCTTCTCAACCAGGGATTGACTATATTTCCAGAGGTGAACGGATATGTCAAGATTTATGAATGTGGACAGAGACACTCTGAAAAACAAGATTAAGTTGGAGCTCCAAACCCCAGAAAACAAAAACTAAAGGCTAGTGTCATCATATGCTTTAGCTTGGATGAACCTCCCCTGGGATTGACTTTAATGCCAACTTTGCTTCAGTTCATAGACAACATCTTAAACTCAATGACTGAAAAGCATCATGAGATATATGACTCAGTCAGCAAAGGGTGTGGAGCCCAAATTATCATAATCTCACAAGCCATAGTTAATTGCATAAGAATGGATTGTTCCACCCTATAGAAACTGCTGAAGAAATGTCTGCTCTTTCTAGTGCAACTTGCGTTGGAATCGATGTGGCAGATTATAAAGCTTATGCTAACACCAACTCAATTGTGGACAATATTTACTTTGGACACTATTAGAGAAAATATACTTCCAAACACTGTCTGAATTTTGACTTGTAATGCAATGAGAAGCTGTGCAAGGAAAGACTTTGCTTCCCTGCCTGATGTGGTTTGGTTGGTTGGACATCATTCTGCAAAGCGAAGGGTGGTGGGTTCCATTCCCTGCCAGGGTGCATGCCTGGGTTGTGGTGTTTGGTCTCCAGTGGAGGTGCGTACAAGAGGCAACTGGACGTTTATCTCTCACATTGATGTTTCTCTCCCTTTTTTGCTCCCTCCATTCTCCTCTTTCTAGAAATATATAAATAAAATCTTTTAAAAAAAGACTTCCTTCTCCTCTTTCTAGAAATATATAAATAAAATCTTTTTTAAAAAAGACTTTGTTGTTAAAGCAGGGTCCTGATTAGTGAGCTTTTTAGTGCTTACATTTAAACAGTAAAACAAATATTCAGTTGTGACATGTTTTATCAGCTTTCCTCTCTTTTTCTCTCTTTCTTTGACTTGGAATAGTTACATGAGGATTGGAAAACTTATTCTGTACTTGAAACCTAAAGTGTAAGGAATCGTACATGTATATTGCCAGTCTTCATGATCATTTTATAAAGTTGGTGCTAGGATCCTTGTTTGGAATATAGGGAAACTGAGGCTCAGAGAGTAAATAATTCATAATTACTCAGGAATAACAGAGCTGGAAACAGAAACCCAGTTGGTTTGGACCAAAGAACATGTACTCCTTCCCTTACACTACAGAGATGGGAAAGGTTTGGGACTCCTGTCTCTCTTGATCTCCCTTAGGGGAAGTCAAGAGAATCAACATCCATTAAGTGTTAAGATTTTGTCTTCCATATAGTAAGTGTACAATAAAATAATTGTTGATTTAATTTTAAATTTGAAAGACACATAATATTACTGTATCCAATTTGTGTAAGAATACTTATTAATCTTTGTCACTGGCACATAGTTATAATTAATATACAGCTGTGGATTAATAGAGGCATTTGGTAATTTGAGGAAAACAGTGACAGGGTAATTGTAAATTGAGACATACATAGTATCTATATATGAGACTTTTAGAAATTTTGTGCCCATTTAAGTAAGATTTTAGGTATCATAGTAATGAAGACTTATTCCACGGTCATTTTCTGCTATGTGTTTTTCTTTGGTAAATCCATCCTATGCCATGGTTTCAGCAAGTACTCAGTAGAATAGTACCTCCTAAGATAGATTTTCAGCCTAGACCATTGTCTTTAAGCTCCACAACATCGTTTTAAATTATTCATTGGCATCTTATGGATGCTCTACAACCTCTTTAAATATCACAATTCATCCCTGGCTGGGTGGCTAAGTTGGTTGGAGTCTCATCCCATACATCAAATGGTTGTGGGTTCAATTCCTGGTCAGGGCATATACTTAGGGTATGGGTTCAATCCCCTTTAGAGCTTGTACAAGAGGGAACTGATTGATGTTTCTACCTCACATCAATGTTTCTCACTCTTTTTTCCCCGGACTGCTTCTAATGGTGAATGTCACTATCATCTACCTGGTACCCTAAGTCAGAGATCCAGCAATGATCTGCACCTGCTCTCTCTTGGTCAATTCCACATTCAAGAGGTCACTAAAGAGTACTCATCTTACCACTGAAATCTTTTTCTCTAAACCTTTTATTTCTTTCTTAGTTCTGGCAGTTACTACTTTACTTACATTACTTGAAATGCCTCTGAACTGGTCTCCTTTCTTCCATTAACAAATCAGTTAATTCAAGAGACATTTGGTGGGTGCCTGCAATATTATAGGTGCTGAGAGTACAATGGAAAGAAACAGATAAATATAACAGTATTAATGGTGATGTTATTTTAATTTGAAAGTACATTGAGAAGACAGAAAGGGATAAGACCAAAAAAATAAGAAAAAAAGAAGGGAGGTGGGAAAGAGAGTATATGGGGTACAGAAAATTTAGACTGAGTGGACAAGAAATGCTATGCAGAGAAGGTGACATTTAAATAAAGACCAGAAGCAGGTGAGTGAACAAACCTTGAGGATACCAGGAATAGTCCAGGGAGAGGGAACAGCAGGGAGCAGCTGGCCTGAAGTGGAACGAGCAGGTTGGGGAGTAGAGAAAATACATTAGAGGGGTTTACAGATGATGAAATATAGGCTCAGTGACTCAGCTAGAAATGACACGGCTGGCATGTGAATGCAGGTCTCTCAAGCTCAAACTGCAAATGTCCCATCAGATGGGAGAAGATTTTCTGTTAATTCTCATGTCATTGTTATTAATCTCTATCACACTTACTACATTACTGTTGATACTAAGAGATGGGAAGTTCAAGAATATTTGTACAGATCTTATACTACAGAATGTACAAACACATATATTTGAATATGTGTGTGTCTAGATTTTATATTGGAGTATTGGAGTTATGAAGAATATGAGAATAGTTCCAAAGTGAAGGGACTTACACTATTTTTGTCAGTTTCATTAACTCTAAATTGTTACCACTGGGCAAGTAGTGGAGACTATCCAAGTCAATGGTTTAATATTTTTAGAAGTTGAAGAGCACTTCAAATAAGGTCTTATTTGGAAGCTCAATAATAGAAATCAGATGA